ACCTGTGAGAGACAAGAAAACATCCAAAACACACCAGGCGAGCAGAACAAGGTACAAAGAAAATAATGGCAGTATCAGTGGTATGTAGATGCAGTGTCAGTGTGCTGAATAATACCAGCTCTGCACTTGGAAACTTTGATGTGATGTCACACAATAGCATGTAATCAGTGAGTGGCTGACATACAGAAAATAAGTCTTAGATCAAAACTCCTTTTTTCCCTTTGATACAGTCTGTGCAGAGATTTGTTATATTTGCTTATTTTTTTGGCATTTTTTACATAGATAAATTCTTCAGCTGCCAATACTTAAACTTAAAGTGCTTAAACTTTAGCACAGTGCTTAATATGAATATAGTTGATATACTGTCTGTTACCAAATTATTACTCATACCCATAATCTTCTTCAAATTTTATGAAATCAATAAAAGAGAGACTTTAATTTTTTGGAATAAAGTATCAAAGCTATTGTTGATTTAGATGGGGCACATTTTGCTGGCTCACAATGGTATCACATAAACAAATGCGGGTCCTGTTTACAGGTGAAAAACTCTTCACAAACACATTTCCATTTGTATGATAATTTTCGAGTGGAGTCGTTGCTTTTTAAACTACACACAAAAGTACCGAGCGACCAACATTACACATTACAAATTACAGAAAGTATGAAAGCCATGAAGCTCCTGGTACGCATTTTTTGTGATGGCACAGTCAGTCTGCAGCTTTCGACTTTTACGCGACCCCGATCTCTAATTTACCTGGTCGGTAACTTCTTGGCTGCGTTGTTGTGGTTCCCAAACACTCCCACTTTGTGTGAAACCCACCGATTGTTGATTGTGGAATATATAGGAGGAAGGAAATGGCGAGATCCCATTTCATCACTACGCTTGAGTTAACGAAATCTTCAGAACGACCCATACAGGTGCTTTATTTTATACACCTGTGCCTGAAGGCACCAGCATACAAAGATTAACATACTGGCTACCTTTGTCCTTACAGTGTTGCTGCACAAGCTGATGAATGACCTCTCTTTAGTGCCAGAGAAACAGGAGTACTTCCAAAAGTTTGATCTGCATGAGCTCATCCACTGCAAAGTCAGGGTCCTCCCCAGTGCTGCTGGTTACATGATTGCTGGAGGCTATTGACTGATGACTAATTTGAACTTTAGTTGTGGTCGGTGGTGTGATCGGTTTAATTTTTTTCCCCTTTACCAAACAGACTTAATTCTACATCTCGCAAAAGCGTACAAGACTCAGCTGAGGGGTAAAGTAGAACTTTTTTTTTGAAGTAAACATATACATTTTTGTAACTAATTGGAAAGTAGCATAGTGAAAAGGAAACAGCGTAAAGTAACCACGGAATCTGACCTGACACTTGCGGCCCCACAGATAGTACAGTGCGGCTGTGAGGGAGCAGATGATCACCGTGAACGGCGTGAAAACGCACTCCCAGTATGTCCCCCATACCTCCGCATGAGTCAGAAACATGACAGGACAGAATGAAGTGCACTAATGTTTAATGCCTTCATCGCCAGCATTCAGCGTTGAGCTCTAGAGCGCGCAGGCGTTCTTCTTTTATTTTTGGTGAACAATAAATTATTGCATTACCGCCACCAGCTGGTGTGGAGCTTGGACCGAGACATTTTACTGTTTCATGAAAAAATATGGCTCATTTTTTATTTAATAGACGTTTCAAAAAAGAAAATGAGAAGGGGAAACTAAAAAGAAACAGCTGGAGAAACACTTTACAGCTAATTAGGTTAATTAGCAATAGGTCAATAACATGATTTGGTATAAAATGAACATCTTAGAGAGGCAGAGCTTCTCAGAATTAACCGTGGTCCGAGGTTCACCAATCTGCAAAAAACTGTTTCAGAATTATCATCAATATAAAACTGTAAATATTTAGAACATCTCACGGTCTACAGTACATGATATCATTAAGAGAATCTGGAGAAATCTTTGTATGCAAAGGATAATTCTGATGTCTACTGGATGTCTATGATCTTCAGGCACTCAGACAGCACCACATTAAAAGGCAGGCATGATTCCGTCATGGAGATCATTGCATGCACTCAGGAAACTTCCAGAAATGATTATCTGTGTTCACCATGTCATCCACAAATGGAGATTAAAGCTTGTACCATGTAACCATGTAAAGAAGAAGCCAGACGTGAACATTATGGGACGCTGCCATCTACTATGAACACAGTTCTTTTAAATTGGACTGAAGCAAAGTAAAAAACTGCTGTGTGGTTAAATGTCTGGTGGCATGAAGACTCCAGCGACACTTGAAGCACTATGGAAAAACTTTATTAGCTGACCAAAGCGTTTCAGCTTGTGGCCTTCATCGGGGTCATTGCAAAATAAACGTTTGAGTTTAGATAGAGGAAGAAATCTTGGTAAAATTACTTCAAATATTTGAAAAAATATAGACGCTGGACTAAAGAGGGGAGGGACCATCCAACTTGCTGGCTTTACTCAATGCTTAAATCCTGCTTCTCTGTTGGTAAGAAAGTGAATTAGGGCCGATGGAACTGGCAGCTTGCACATATAGACAGGGTCAATCAGTGTTGACATGTATGTACAGATTTTAAAGCAACACACGTTCCATCCAGATAACGTCTTTTTTCAGAGAAGGCCTTGTATGTTTCAGCAATACAATGTTAAACTACATTCTGCAGCTATTATAACAGCTTGGGTTTGTAGCAGACAAGTTTTGGTGGTGAGGTTAACCGCCTGCAGTCCAGATCTTTCACCAGCTGAAAACATTTGGTGCATCAAAGAAGACCGAGGATTTTTTGTTCCGCTAGAATCCTTCATCAACATTCCAGAGGTGGTCTCCTCAATTCCCAGATATTCTATCTTTTATATCTTTTATATCTTTTATTAAAAGAAAAGGGTATGCTATAGTGGTAAACATGACGGTGCCCCAACTCATTTACTGTCATCAAATTCAAATGACCTTGTTTTCTCTTAAAAGGATATTTTAAGTGTTTTTTCTTGTGCATAGTCATAAACACTGCTCCTTACTTTGAGATGAAACTTCCGAATACTAAATGCTACTGCAATTCTATTCTTTTATACCTCTGCACACATCAGTATGTGAATTATAAAGATAAGTGAAACCTACGGTGTTGTCATAAAGTATCCAAGGTTGTATTGCTGGCAGTAGTACATCTGGACTAAAGTTTAACTGAATAATTTAAGTAGTTGTTGCGTTCTGTGTCACTAGCCGCCCACAGCTTTTTATTTCTCTCCGTTCCCTCTGCCAACAAGTGCCTTATGTTGTGTAATCCTAACTTTACCCCTGTAGACATACCCAGGGTTAGCTGCATCTTATTGTATCCCTTTTTTTTTCTTCTTTTAATGCTACTCTTTTAAATGCACTTGTTCCTTATTCCTGTTTCTTAGCACCTTTCTGCATCTTTTTACATATAGGTCCATACTTTGTTGGGCAGACACAGTGTACACCCCCACAGTGGATTTTAAATCAGTCATGTGATTGAAGTGCACAAAGGAATGATTGTAGACTTTGATATTTATGCCTCGTCAACAGTTTTCTTGACTATGCGAGTTCTGGTGAAGGTGTTTTCATTTCCATGGAAATAATTCTGTGATCATCCACTTTGGTGGTATTTTGTGCTCTTTCACGCTTTTTTGATGTTGTTAAGCTTTCCAGTGAACTCCTTCTTTTAAGCAATGAACCATATTGTTGATTCGACCACTCCGAAGTTCTTGTTTTTTCTCTGATTGGTTTATTTGAATTTTGATTTGGTTTCTTCAGCCTTATAATGGTGCCCCCTCACTTCCACTCGCATCTGTCTGATTGTTTGATTTAAAATCTTCCGTAGTAGTGTGCAGAGGCAAAATTACACACACATGGTCCGAACTGTATGTGCATTACCACCACCCTCTGCTGCACTGCCTGGCTGCGCTTCTCCAACAGCACACTCGCAGGCAGCAGCTCCCCCCGCCCCCTCGCTCAGTGTCTGAGCTCGGATCATACCAATATTAGGGGGGATTTACGCACAGTCGTAAATTCCCACAGTGTGCACTATGTGCTTCGAATATTGTGTGTAGTTTTTGTTTTATACAGTTGTCAGCCAGGCATCTAACTATGAAAAAATTACACTCCAAAAGACCCCGGGCTTCTGAAAAAACAACCCGGGCTTAAGCCCAGTAAGCCACCCCCCCGCTCCGCCACTGATGTCAAGACATGTTTCTAGCAGGGCA